TGGTAAATTAGGACTGAAATGACAATTCACAATGCAAGAATTATTCGTAAACTATGAGTAATCAATCTATTAGTCCTGACATTAGTATTATATGGAAGACGTTGAGATAATAGACCGAAGTTTGTCAACGTATTACCACCACAAATTTTCGCCAAAACCGAGGTAATACGATTTTTTTTGGATAGATCTTTAAGCGTATCAATAAAAACATAAGTGTGAATTAAAAGCATTGTATAGTTCCACAAGTGTGCGAAATTTGAGAAAAAGGAAAAAATGTCTTCTGAATATCCGAGTAAACGTTTCTGCTTTCTTGATCCTACCTTTCCGTTTACAAGATTCAGAATCCCATATGTTTTGGGCAACAATAGTTTCCGAGATGGTGGAGAAAACTGGTAGCTCAGGTGGATGATTGTGTGGTGTTGGTTCTCTGAGCTCAGAGAACCAAACACCACACAACAAATAGTTTCCATTTGTCTGTGGTCGCGCGAATACTTGATGCCTACACTGGTCCCGAATTTCAACGTTAGTGAGAAAATATGCATTCGTTTACGGCCTGTAGTATAATATGTATTCATAGTATGTGTCCGTGAACTGATAATAACGATATAACATAAACAAGCGAAAATACCTTCTGAACGAGACAATTTCAAGTTTACTTAAAATCAATAGGCCAAACAGTAAGCTTCTACTGTGCCTCTGGTACAAAGACTGATTTAGTGGTAATGTTTCAGTCAAATGGACAATGTAATATTACATTCCATGATAAAAAATAAACTTATCTGAAAACCTGATAAGTCTCAAGCGTTTTGAGGCTGTAGTCAAGTACCCAGGACTAAGTTTATTCACTAATAAATTATCGAACGCGTTATATACGTTGAAAATCTATATGTATGCATCAAGCTGAATCAGATTAGTCGTCTTTCTCTAGTTTTACGGTTATAGACTCTAAACTGACATGGCTTAAAATAGTTTGCAATGCCGCAGTTGCATCTATTTCTTGTGTTCTACTCGATTCCTAACCTTCTGAATTCTCACATTACACTTTTTTTAACGTTTATTTACTAGGACTATACTTCTTGAAATAATATCTTCGAACCATAATCTCTCCGATTATTGCTGATACTTCTAGTACATCTACTACTATGGGATTAGAAGTGAAAATAGCATATCTGAGATGATGTGGTATGGCAACTTGAACTGATGATGCATGTACGTACGAAGTTCTATGTTGTAGTTAACTGACTGATTTGACGGTTCGATGATGTTCGATGTTTAACAAGTTAGATTTTATTATAACTAACATCAAAAAAAAAATTAAACAGAGAAGTTTCATAGAAAATAGATTTAGATTTATTTACAAAGAGAAAATAATTACATATATATAAATCGAGTTACTTAATGCCGTGTATTGCGGCTAGCCATTTTTCGAGTTGAAACAGAAGTAACACGACCAGTGTCACAAACAGATTGAGAAGTAATCGGATCTGGTTGTACAGGTCGATCGAGGGCATTAGTAGTAGCCAAAGAATTCCCCAATTTCAGCTGATGGATTCATCAGTAAGGATCGTTAATAAGCCTTGTAATTTGAGTGAATTTGTGTTTATCTTAATTCAATAACAGAATTGATGAAAATACAAGTTTAATACAACAATAAAAACACGAAAAGTAATTGGAAAAAAATATATTAGATGAAGATATATATTTAGATGCACTTCATAGTTTGGAGAGCATGATTACGGCGAATTTTCAAAGCTGTAACAAAATTAGTTGTTTGTAGTAAATTTTTATTATTTATATTAAATTCTTAATATGGGATATGTAGTGAGGTTCTGCAAGTTCATATCAGACACTTACTTACTTACTTACTTACCGACTCCTGTTATCCGCAATGGAGCATAGGCCGCCCACCAGTTTCTCCAACCAACTCTGATCGCCGAGGCCTTTCCTTTCCAGTTCTTTCCCAGCTGTCGTTCATTCTTCTCATAAACTTTCTCTATTTCTCGGCGGTAATGTGTTCCCTGGCCTTCCTCTTTTCCTTTGACATTGAGGGTTCCATGTGAGGGCTTGCCTTGTGATGAAGTTAGGTGCTTTTTTTCACTGTGAGTCTTATCCACTTCCACCGCTTCTTCCTGATCTCCTCCTCCACTGCGAATCTGGTTTCCTTACTCCTCCCACAGTAAGTTGTTGTTGATCGTGTCTGACTAACAAATCCAAAGTTATTTTGCGTAGACAATGTTAATAAACACTTGTATCTTGTGGATGATGCCTTTGGGTAGTTCTTCAAGTTCCTAGCTCCATACAGTAGAACTGTCTTGACATTTGTATTGAAGATCCCGATTTTGGTGTTGATTGGTATTTGTTTGGAGGTTTTCAGATATTTTTCCAATTGTAGAAATGCAGCCCCTAGTTTCGCCAATCCGCGCCCTTACATCTGCATCGGATCCACCTTGATTGTCGATGATGCTGCCCAGATATGTAAAGGTGTTAACGTCCTCTAAGGTATCTCCATCAAGAATGATTTGGTTGGCGCGTGTTGTGTTGTATCGGGGAATCTCGCTTTTACCTGACTGTATGTTGAGACCTACTGCTGCAGAGGCTGCTGCTACCACTGGTCGTCTTTCTCTTGCATTTGTTGTTGCGTGTGCGATAGAAGAGCCAGGTCCATCTGCAAAGTCCAGATCATCAGCTACGCGTCCTAGCTGTCCATTGGATACCGTGCTTCCGTCCAGATGTTGACGTTTTCATAATCTAGTCGATCACCAGAAGAAGGAGAAAGGGTGAGAGTAGCAACCTTGCCTGATACTGGTCTTTCAACCATCAAACGAGTTTGTCAGCTGACCTCCGTGCAGATTTTGTAGTTTAATCCATCAAAGGGATTCCGTATGATGTTAACTATTTTTCTCAGGCACGCACCGTAGTCTCAGTTGCATTATTCTTAACTGGTTCAATTCTTAATAGTACGCCGCATTTTTGTGAATGACTGATAAGTCGAGATGAACAGACAAGTTCATATCTTAAAACAAAAATATTACACAAAAGTGTTTACAATTAAGAATCACCTGTAAGTGTTAATTTCCAGAATCTCTTTACCAGAAACAATATTTTTATTGTATAACTACTATTAAATACTTGAATGAATGCGATATTTGTATTACATTAGTTGGCAGTTCCCACTGTTGATTGATCACTGATCTACTCATATAGTTTGCTTTTACTTAGAACATAGTCATGTCTGTTTTGTAACAGCTTACTGATGTGTGGTCAAGATATTACTATATATTATTCTATGAGTTGAGTCATAGAATCGGACTGTATAATTATAAGTTATCTACCTAGTATGTTGTATTTCATTCTTGCCATTGAGTGAACGAACATAAGACAGCTGCTGCTCATACAATTACACCCTAACCACAAAACTGGAGAAACATATCATACATACATGCAATTGTTCACTTGATATGTTTAACATTTTCGCATATTTTCAGTTTCACTCTACCGTCACATATCTACTACTACTACTACTTGATAATGAGAACTAGGTAAACGAATATCCGAGCACAATTGCGCATAGCTATTATAAAGTAGGATACAAAATCGACCAGTAGCTTAGAAAACGTTTAGATGAGCAATTCGTGCATCCAATCTCTGTGTATAGAAAGGTTAGATTCAATCCCTTATTCCTTAATAGCTGAAGCAACCAGTTTGAATATTTATAAATTATTAATGCTAATTTATTACCTTCACCTTTTTTCCCTTTCTTATAAAATTAGCAGTTATCTTTAATTCTATAGATTATTACCTCATATGGCTCTTAATAACAAAATGATGGCTACCTATCTTTATCTTAGAGTAAATAATTTACTCGAAGATAAAGATAGGTAGCCATCATTTGTTATTAAGAGCCATATGAGGTAATAATCTATAGAATTAAAGATAACTGCTAATTTTATAAGAAAGGGAAAAAAGGTGAAGTGATAAATTAGCATTCCTAATTTGTAAATATACAAAAATGGTTGCTTCAACTATTGAAGAATAAGGAATTGAATATAACCTTTCGATACACAGAAATTGAAGCACGAATTGCTCATCTAAAACTTTTCTAAGCTACTGGTCAATTTTGTATCCTACTTTATATAGCTATGCACGATTGTGCTTGATATTCGTTTACCTCGTTCTCATTATCAAGTAGTAGTAGATATAACGGAGAGTGAAACTGAAAATATGCGAAAATGGTTAAACATATCAAGAGAACAATTGTATGTATGTATGGATGTTTCTCTAGTTTTGTGTTTAGGGTGTAATTGTATAAGCAGCAGCTGTCTTATGTTCGTTCACTCAATGGCCAGAATGAATACAACATACCAGGTAGATAACTTATAATTATGCA